CCTTGTCACGTGCTTCCTTCGCTATGGCAGCGATCATAACACAATTACGTCACAGGCCGGTGACACGTACATCCATGGTGTGGTCAGGATGTCCCTAGCAGCAGGTACACGTGCACTTCAATTTACACTTACTCCTTTGGAATATGAACAAAAACAAAACACACGGACAAATTTCTGCTGAAATTTTATTCAATGTGACTATGTTTTCTATGCTCTAATAGTTTAAACATGTGTTGTAACCATTACTATATGATTTTAATATCAGAAATTATTTTAAAAGGTTCCTGGAACGGATTTATTTAACATATATTAGTTACACAAGATATATGCAAATAATTGGTTTTGCAAGATAATGTTATGATGGTAAGGTAGAGATGAACCTTTTGTTAATTCTTTTCGGCATTCATAAATATGAACCAATTTGTTCGAGTATATACACGAAACTATCAAGGAAACCAAAGGTTTCTGAAAACATTTTTTTTTCTTTCTTAATAATTATAGGCGTGCTGAGCCTTTTGGAGTACGTATTGGGAAATGTTGTACATCCTGGAGAACTCAGGGGCTTGTTAGATTGCCTTGGCAATTCTGCCCTACACATGGCAGCACAGTGTCAGAAATGTTCCGCACTCGTACGCCTAGATGTCATGACGCTACTTGTTGAAGCTGGAGTCGATGAAACAGCGAGAAATATTGAGGGGAAAACTGCAGGTTCATACCTTTCAGGAAATGAAGAAGATTGTCTTCAAAGTCACCATGAATATAATTTAATTTGTTCCGGTAAGTTGCAAATTGACTTTAAAGATGGTTCTCAAATGTAAAATATTCGAGTATTTCTTTAATAATTTTCAACTTACAATTATATTGTGTTCCTTTGTTTAAATTTATGTTATATTGATTTAATTTATCGCAGGATTGATGGCAAAGAAGATGAAGCAGGCAGTGGATAAGATATACGACAATGTTGATAATGTGAGAAGAGAAGACGATACTGAGGAATTCCAAGAAAGTACACAGGATAAACATATTCAAGTACAAGAAAAGCAGACAATAGAAAGAACATTTGATGCGACACCAAAAACACATTCGAAGGAAGACGACGCACCGGACAACAACACGGTAGAGAACACTACAGATTTGTTGCTGCAGAAAATGATGACTGTTGGTCTTGCTCAAAATTGCAATCTATCCTCCCGAATACAGGACGCCCACAAATATAATGACAGTGGTCAATCTTTGGAAACCATTGCAGAAGAAAATTCCTTTCAATATGAGACCACAAACAATCAACGACAACCAGTCCCTGTTACTGAAGAAGAAGAGATGCCTGTTCGAGAACCACAGATTTCGGTATCACAAGGTATCGACGGAGAATCTTCAAGGAATTTCAATACAGACGTCCAAATTACAAATAGATGTTTACCAGTTGAATCTGTACCAGACAAGCCAAAACTGATTGAATTCAACCTAGAAACCATTAAGATTGATTTACAAAATGGTCTCCCAGAGCAACAGGTTATCTCAATCACAGAAAAAGCGTCTAACACATGTGAAGTTTCTCAAGTTGATATCAATTCTGAAAATGTACACGTAAATGTTGTAAAGACTTATCACGTTTCCGATGATGTTGGAGATGACAATTCGTCGTTTGGTTCGCTTGAACACAACAAATCATGTGGTAGCGACATGGAAGTCGAAGTTTCTCTTAACAAATCCACAATCCAGTCTTCACAATACAGCAAAAAACAATTGCAGTCTTCTGATGTTTTGAGGGACAGAGCTGCATGTGCAGCGTTGCAATATGCTGGCACTGACAAAGACAATGACGGTATAAAATACACTGCTTCAATACACGTGCAAGCAAGCTTGTTCGGATCTATAGCCCCATATAACAATGATAACGTCAGTGTCGGGATAACTTCCGTTCAGAAAAATGATTACAGAGATCACGATGAGATTCAAGTTGCACCAAAGTTCAATGACAATCCCGAAACAGAAAATAAAGCAGAGAACGAATCAAATTGTAGTGAGCTAGGACAAGACGTGACTCGTAATGACACCATGGTAAAATCTTCACAAGAAAGCGTAACACAATCACATAAGTTATCCAAGAAGTCTCCTGAAGTTTTAAAGGAAAAAGATGCAAATGACGAAAACATCGATGTTCAATCCTTATTGAACAAGGACATTTTGCTAAAACATATAGCCCCAGATGACAATTCGTCGCCTGTCCTAATAAAGGTTCATGACGATGACAATTCTCAAGCACAAAAGAAAGCCGAGACAAAATCAAGTGGTAGTGAGATAGGTTACGGCGTGTCTCACAAGGATATCATGTCCAAATTTTCACAAGATAGCCTAACAAAACAACAAGATGTTTTACAGGAAGAAAGTTTGAGTGAGAAGTTTCAATGTGGCAACACTTGCGCTATTCCGTTAGAGGATATGGTATCCAATGATAACGGCTGCAGACATCCTTTTGACCAAGTTGAAACTGTCAACTTGGATTTAAAAAATGGCCTCCCCCAACAACAGGTTTACCCAATCACGGGCAAATCGTCGTATAACGAATGTGAAACTAACACAACACCACAACATAGGTCGCAGTTCTTTCAACTGGCACCTGTTGAAACAAAAACCAAACCGGTCGCCAAGAAACCAGGGAAGTGCAAGCAAACCCAAAGATCAAGTACTAAGGAAACTAAAGAACAGAAAGTGTTTGAAGATACTTCATCATATCAGGACAACAAGCATGAACAGTGTTGTCCAGCTGTAAGTAAACTGTCTTTTCTATTATGCAATAAAACATTGATGATAGTTTTTTATTTTGTTTATTTTCTAAAATGAATAATTCGTGTATTCGTACTTAGGAGAAAACATCTGAAACATCAGAATCCTGTTTATCATATAATATGGACGAAGATAAAATGCTCACATTGCCTGAACAAGGTACAGATCAAATACAAGTCACATTGGATTCACCTGTGCGAGCAAGTAAGTAATTTATTCATATAAAGGTGTAATTTCCACTCAATATCATACAATACCAGAAGTCACAAAAACGACTCCCAAACAAGTTGAACGAAATATGTTCCCTTAAAAATCAAAGAATTTCACTAACTGTTCAAGACAGTAGAGACGAACGTGTCTGTAAAGTATTTGTAGATTAGGTTAGTTACGTAATATATTGGTCAACACTTGTTCCGGTTGTCATTGCCCGCAATGTGTGAGGGCATTTTGACATGTATTAAACATTGATGTCTGATAAGCTGTAATGGTTTTGAAAGAACGCAATAAGATGGATGATAAACGGTAGTCTTTTCTTACGGAACACATGTTTTCGCTGTTGTCGTGATGTTGTGAAAATATCAAATTAGGTTTCCATGATTTACTCTGTCGATCTCTGGACGCATGAACGCGAGAAGTGACAGGCGCGGTTTTGTTAATTTGCACTATTGCATCAATTATTTGACAAGAATATGTCATATTTTCATTCAGCATGTTAATCACATCACCTTAAACAGATCAGTACATTTCAATTTAATTTTTGAACAATTTGCAGGAGAAAATCAAATGACTTCACTCCAAAATGGTCCTGAGTTGATGGTTTCGAAGGAAAGGCCTTATTTTCTTCAAACACACGTCTCGAAGAGAACGGAGTTGCGAAATTTTCAGATGATGTCAAAGCACGATCACACCGAGGAGGACAGTACTGATTCCGAGCATATAAATGAAAATGAAAATATTTGCAATGATATTTCCAGTACTACAGTTGGAGAACTCACATCTACCACTGATGCAAACGGAAAGAGTAAATCATATGGATGCGCCCCAACCAAACAGTCTCATTACGGAGAAACAGAAGAAAAAATCGCATTGGATAAGCGGTACGACCAAACATTCAATAGGAAACGTCCGATATCAAAGCGAAGGGATTTGTGTCTTGAGATTAAACATCTGATTTCTGATATACAGAATCCACCAAGCATATTCTACCGAGAGGCTGAAAAGGAAGACGACGCCACAGAAAAAAACAAGGACTTCGGTGAGGACTCATCTAACACAGAGGTATGTATTTGTATCTTAGTTATAAAATGTAAGGCCACTAAGCATTCAGAAACAATATCCTTTAACAAATAAACGATAAGTCAAAACTAAATATTAATATACAGTTAAAGGCAAAACAAAAAGTCTCTTCTTTTAAAATACACCTTTTATTTTATTTTCAGATGTACGACTGTACAAACGGAGTTTTAGAACTAGAATGTACAGAGGAATTCTGGAAGACGATGTGTTCCGACCAGATGCCACTAGACATAAAAAGGAGAGCACTTAGGATTCTAAAACAGCTTGCAAGCGGAGAAAAGTGTCATTATCGGAATTCACCTTCGAATGAAAACATCTTTAAGGCAAAAATATTACCTGAGGTTTACATCATATGGGGAACAGCAAGAGTATATTCTCATAGACTTAATAATTCAGATGAAACAGAGATGAGACGTGACTTAGGAACAAAACATCCTAAAGTTATATATTCGGAAGTTATCAGGATATGGGACATAGTGAGAGGTTCGGAAGAAATGGAAAAATGCACCAAACGTTTGAAAGAGATAAGTCAAAGGCATAACAGATGTCTGCAACAGACACATTTGACAGGTCAAGTGACAAAACTCTCACAAAGAGCATATATTCCAAGCATTTTTACCGTATCGGAATCACAAGATGTGTCCAATGTCATATCTGTTCCGAAATATCTGCGAAGGCAAAATGGCATACAGAAATTCTATTTGATCTCCCCGGAGATGATCAGGTGTTTTATACAGAGTAACCTATCAAACGTAACCTTCCCGTTCCGGTTGTCTTATCCAGAACGTGATATTGTGGATCTGCAGTCAGATTTGCCCGTGTTTTTGCTCGGAGAGAACGGCTCCGGGAAAACAACGTGCTGTATGTACAGGCTACTGCAAATATGGTTAGCAAACCGAAAAACATCAACAGCTGGTTCAGGACCAAATGCGATTGATGAAAGCGCAGGTGAGGAATTACTGGTCATAGGTTTGGTGAAAATCAATAAACTTTACTCTCTCTATATATTATTCATATTTCATTTTTGCACTCCGTCGAAGTCATCTTATTTTTTATTTTTAATCTTTTGTAATGATAACTTTTCTTCTCGAAATAAATGTACCATATTGCGATTGATTAATTTCCTCCCGGCGTTAACATTGTAGACTTCAATGGCTCAGATGAAAATGATACATACCTGTGCCAATCAACAGAAACAGATACCAAATTTGCTGAGGCCGATATAGGAGAAAATAACATTCTCCGTCCTATATTCATCACCAAAGATAGATGGAAAGCAAAAGAGGTACTCATAACTTTGTTCAATCCATAATCAATATAGTAATGCAAGATATGACATGTACAGATGTAGTTGAATTAACTATAACATATTATCTCTAAAGCTATCTGTTTCGTTTTTAATATGTTACTTTTTTAATCATTGCTACTGCTTTTACAGCAAGAAAATCGATAAATATTCTAGTAATATAAAAGTTAAATTATAAGTCTTCATTTTATTTTTCTAATTATACAGGCAAAAGAAATTTTTTTGGGCCTCTGCTGTGGAAGTGACCCTTCTCCTAAAAACATCAACCGAAAGGAACAAGAACTACCAGAGAGCTTTCAAAATGCTTCTAATGACATATGTCCATTGTTTCTCACAATGCAACAATTTCTCTTCATTTTGGATTCGTCATTAGGGGAACCAAAATTCTTCGAGGGGAACAAAGCTGATATGAATTCCTGGGTCAACGTCCTTGACACCCTAGAACTTGGGCACCCATCGGTTCCCGTGAAAGGCAAACTGCTTCGGCAAGTCACTTACGAGGTCTTCCGAGACGAGGTATGGCCTAAGCTTGGAAAGGCGTTTGATGGAAAATATGATTTGTCTTTCGTCTGGATTGAAATACTGAACCATATTGCAGGATCGATCGAAGCAATATCTCAAAGATCTGGAATACTAACAAAGGAGCAATATGTTGGTAAAGCAAGACTTAGGACTGTATACTCCAAAGAGGATTTGTCTCATATCTATGACATGTTCAAACGATATGACAATTTGAAAACTCAGAAGGGTTACTTCGATGTTACTGACCTGCTTCATTCTATAATGACAAGGATACAGACCGAACCATCAGTTCCATTCGTCTTCCAGCATATATTTGCAGATGATGTACAGGACTTCAACTCAGCAGAAATCAGCCTTCTTCTTAGCTTTAGTTCCGAACCAAACACAGTGTTCTTGTCTGGGACACAAAAAGAGCATCATGTGTCAATATCGGATGGCGTGGTGAAACTTTTGCATTTCAACGGAACTCATCGATCCCTGGTCGCAATACAACCTTTAATCAAATACCTGCCAAACGAGTTTGGTCCCAGTGAAGGAATTAGTTCATTTGCAAACTGCATCATGCATCTGATGAAAGACACATCTTCATACCCGTTGGATGCTGTTGAGGATAAAACATCTTTGTTTCCAGGACCTAGACCTGTTTTGCTGAATTCACACAATGAAATAGATCTGTTGGACTTTCTGACCGTGTATAGGTCGACAGGTTTGAAATTAGGCGCAAATCAGGTTATCCTGGTGAGAGATGAACATTCCCGCAACAACATACCACCAAAGATGAAAAACAGCCTGATTTTGACACTTGAAGAAGCATCAGGTCTCAGATTTGATGACGTTCTTTTATACAATTTTTTTGCGGATTCAAAGGTGAATATGAATAACGTAAGACACAAACAAGTACACCTGTAAAAGTTGGTAATATATACAGTCTACGAAAAATGACTTACATTGCAACATAGAACTGTTAATGTCATGTACTCATTATTTAGTCACTTCAAACTTCAATTTAATTTATAGGTTGGTAAAGACATCATTTTACTCACCAAAATGGATGGAAAATTCGAAAACAGGAAGAAAAAGCATGGTGAGTGGTTTTGTAAACTTAATTAAGGTTCTTGTATACATACACTTAGTAATAAACATTTTCATATATTGTTCGTTTTTTAATTCATTCTTATATGTCCTGCTCTGAGTTCATTATATTATGCCTTTCTTTATGTTTATCGAAGATTTCTGTTATAGGTCGCTGGATATTTTTGCCAGAAAATTAAATGTCGTTTTATATATATATGTATAACTCAGAGTTGATGAGTGTTTGCAAAAATCGAAAGACAGATCGCTGTCTCAGAAATCACATAACACATGGAAATATCAAATGAATAATGCACATTTAAGGTTTTTGTTCCCGTCTAAACAGTGTGAATCTGTTATGACCACTAATAAAGTAAATTCCAGTTTATTCAATCCCCACAAAATCGTCACTTTTGGGAAAGATGGAAGTATTTTTATATTTAAGATAAATGCTAAGTACATTTAATTTTTGTTTGAACAACTATATAAATATCTTTTTCTGTATGAGTATGTTATATGCAAAAGCTTTTAACTGGTTTTTCTTTGCGACCAATACTCCATAAACATGTCATTATTGGGATATTAACCATCAATATTGTCTTATTACAGATGTCGACGGAAATCAGACAAAAATGGCGAAATGGGATCGTTTCCGACGTGCTTCTCTACAACGCGAACTACAAGCACTGTATAAAGCTTCAATGACAGCTAGCAACAACTTGTGGATATTTGATGAAAACTCCAACGTGGCGTCCTCAATGTATACATATCTTCAAGAAAGAAATGTTGCTGAGGTACATCAGACTGCAGAATATGGTAAAACGTTTGCTATTATTATTTTTATGAATTTGTCATCACAGTTTAATTTGATTCCGACCGATAGGTGATTGCATTTTAATAAAATGAGCCAGAGTGTTGAGGGTTCATAAGTTTTTTACTGTTTGGTGGAAAAAAAGCAGTTTGATCATATTCACGTCGCGGGTATGATAAAAAAAAAGATGTTGTATTAAGAGACAAAAAGTGTTTCTGCTGTTATGAAACTAAGGATTCTTATTCCTTTTTCCTTTTTATAAAACTTTCCAACACATGTCGATTATGTTAAAAACTAAACAAATAAACAAATTTATTCCATTTATAGCAAATTATTTTAAAAAACAGACCTTCACTGCAGTGAAGAAATACGAAATATGATATTTTCACATGTGATAATTTAAGGTGCATATCGTTATGATATTGACTAGTACGAACGGTATTTCTTTTTTTCTGCATTTATGACAATTTCCCTCTTCCTGCTACTAACTAAACGAGTGTAGATTTAGTAGCTGTTTTATGCATCTTTTGTACATAAACATAAGAATGGTTATGTTTTGCTAGCAAATCAATCTAACAAGATAATAACAAGATAACAACCCAACCCGATAACTAGTTAAAAGCATAGCAAATATGTTCGTGGTTCGATACAGTATAGTACACATACCCGTTGTTGTTAAATAGTATAGTAAACATTCATGTTATTGGTATACAATATAGTAAACATAAACGTTATTGGTAAATAGTATAGTAAACATACATGTTATTGGTATACAATATAGTAAACATAAACGTTATTGGTCAATAGTATAGTAAACATACATGTTGTTGGTATACAATATAGTGAACATAAACGTTATTGGTAAATAGTATAGTATACATACTCTTGGTTCGTTCACATTCTTATAACGTGGATGGCTTTCAGTACAATAAACATACTCGTGGTGGTTTACCTTCTATTCAACATACTACTACTACTACTACTACTACTACTACTACTACTACTAAAAC